TGCATATGAATTTGTGAATCTAGGCCAGTAACTCTAGATTAGATGTATCATTGTTCTGTTCTTTATTTCCTTGGCTTATTATTCACATGATTTGCAGTGTTCTGCAGGTCAAAGGAAAATGGCAAAGAAATTATATGGAAAAGGGAGGGGTGGAGAGGGTAAGATGACTGTGCTCCATGTTGTCTCAAACATTGAAAAGTAGCTGATCCATATGACTGCTTTTGTTACCACTGCAGTTAGGTGCAGGATCTTGATTTAGTCACAAGCATTTCTTAAACAAAAGGAGAATTTAAGACTCTCATTTCTTATTTAGTAAGATATAGGTCTAGCAGAATTGCACTAACATTCCGCCTCCCATGGGCTATCATCCCTCTCTGCAGCCCATGGCCAGTAGCAGCTTCTTGAGTGTCATAATAGAAATCAATAGAGTTAAATGAGTACAGTCGTACTCAAAATCAGCAACTCTGATGGTATCTAACCTTTAGCCTGTAAATGCCACTTTCACATTGTTGCTATTTGAGTTTTGTTCCTTTATTACCATTGCCAAGTGTCTGAAATATATCCACATGTGTCCTTGATAGAATGCCAGGTGAAGCATCATATGGTGTCATGCAAGCAAGAGATGGAGGTGCAAGAAGCCCTGATTTCTCTGAAGTCAGTGTCCAACCAGGTGTAGTGCACAGCAAGGACTTCATTCTCTGCTTCTCCAGTTGCTTCTGGGGAATGGGACCTCCCTGCTGTCTTGTGTCAGCCTGTTGGGCCATGATAAGTGGTTGTAGATTCAAGGGTGGTGTTCTGAGCCCACAAAGCCCATGCCAGAGCAGGGGAGCAGCTAGCTGTAGGCAAGCAGGACCCACTTCCCCTGTATTTAGACCCCTGCAGGAAACCTGTTGACCAAATTGGACTTTTGGGTGATGGTCACCCATCCATGAGGAGTCGGGGAAAGGCTTGCAGGGCTTGCAGGTGATGTTCTGAGAATCTGAAAGGTCTTTTGAATGGGAGTGGCTGAAGTCTATGACAGTAAGGTTAAAACTGTATTGGAAAACATCATTTATCCTTCTGAATAAATACAGGTGCTTGCAATATCTTGTTTGTAATGCTCTCACTTCTTGCCATGCCAAAGAAAGGGGTTTTATTTTCGTATGCATGTTTTGTTTACATAACCAGTACATTTTATCAGCAAGAACCAATGTTCACTGACAAAGCAAGAGGGAAATTTTCATTCCGTGCATGGTGGTATCACAGAAACAATGTGTTTGAAGCCTTGTACTTCAAAAACATGCCTGAGAGGAATGGAAAAATCCAGGCTCATATTGTAAAAACGTGAGTCACAGCAGTTATTATCTCTTAAGAAATGGCATTCCAGCTCTTTGATTCAGTCATTGATGATTTCCCTTTTTAAGTTGTGGTGCTTTCTTACCCTTTTAAGAAACATCTGGGCTAGCCCTGGCTATTTGTAGAAATGTTTGCAATTCATAGATTAAAAGCAATTAGACATAGAAAGGACCCATGAAATTATCTTGTCCATTTCCTGAAAGCATATGAAATTGAAAAAGAATTGTGCTAAATATATATATGTTAAAATTTGGAACTTTAGCTTATACACAATATGAGGACAAAACATGTCAAGAATTTTCAGTTGTAATGATGCTGAAACATGTATTTTTCTTTAAAAAAAGTAAATAGATGACTAACAAAAGCTCGAATGAAGTATGTGTAGGATTTTCCAGTTCTTCCTAGGCAGCTATCTTTCTGGAATTTGTAGATAAAATTGAAAAGATCTAGTTTTGACAAGTTTGAATTTGATTCAATTTTGTAATAAGTGAGAGTTTTAAGCAGAAATAATCCCCTTTAGAAAAAAGTAATTAAAACTTCTGATTTTGAAGAGGTTTTTTCTGGCTCTTTTATCTCCCTCATCATCCCCTATCCTTTTTTTCTTTGTTTCTCTTTTCTAAAAAATTTTTACCAGTTCTGTTGCCAGAATGGCTTCCCTTGGAAGTCTTTAAAGAAGTCTGAAAAGGATGCTGAATAGTTGAGTTGATATTCAGTTCTTGTGATCAAGCAACACCCATGAAAACCGTGATACTTAGTAGACACATTCCACTCATTCTCTTACATCTCCGTAAAGTACTCGGTGCCCCTCATGCTATAGGGCCATGTCTTCAGCTGTATGGAATGTGGTGCAGAGGTGGCTACCACCAGTTTTCCAGCAGAGTGTCTGTGTAGGTTGGAACCAGTCACCTGTGCTCTGAAGCACTGGCAGCAGGGAGCTGGTGAGATGTGGATCTGGAGCACCTGCAGATGTACAGGAGTATCAACTTTGATTCTCTGTGTGTTTCTGTGTTTGCACAAGCTCAGACCAGCCACAGAGTCATCAGGCAGATTAAGCCCTTGCCCAGGGCAGCATAGGCTGTCTAGTGTTGGCACTGGTGCTACGTAAGGAGAAAAGCATGCAAGATCAGATGATGGATTTCTCCAGACTTGTAGCCTAGGAAAAGTGTTAAAATAGAACAAACGTAAGTAGTATTTTTTTCAGGCACCTAGGTTCTACAGCTAAGGGATTTTCTCAGTCAGAGCCAGCATCTTTGTGTTTAAAACCATTAATGCATCTTTTGCCCTGGGATTTGTCTTGTGGCTTTGTGAATCCTTGCCATTTGCAGCCAACAATTTTAACAGGATGACTCTGCACCATGTGGAAAGTGGCTCCAGTGGTTCTTTCAAAGCAGCTGCTCTGTGATTTAATTTAAAATTTCTCCATTCTTGTCTTATGAGAAAAAGCAAACAGCCATTCCCCATTCACTGTTTTTACAGAGCTCATGATTTTCTGGACCTCAATTAACAGCCTGCAGTGATGTCCTCTCCAGTTAGAGACCCAGTCTGTGCCCTTCTTGGAGTACTGATCAGCCACCGACTTTTGTTGTCCCCTTCAGCACTGAGACAGGTTTCATTGTGAAGAAACAAAAATTGAAAGGACAAAAAGCTCAGAGAAGTCTCTGGTCACCTCTATTGATGTCATTTATAGAAAGTGAAATTCTATTAGCTTACACTGGTGCTTAGTCACAAAGTGTTGAGCATAAGAAACTCAGTTTGTGGGAAAGCTTCTAATTTCCTGTTTTTCTAGAGAAAGGGGATAAAACAAATGACATGGGGAGGGACGGGGGGGAAGGGGAAAGGAATAAAGAGAATAAATCTAACAGTAAAACAAAAGAAGAATGTCAGAATACCCAAACTCCAGAAAGGCTAACTCATTTTAGTCCTGCTTGTTCAAACCAGCAGTAGTGCAGAATATAGTGTACAACCTCCAGTAAATCATTCCTGTGTGATAGGCTGTGATCAATGACAATTTAATGAATTCATTTTAAAACGAAGTCAGAATAGGAAAAACAGTAGTTATTTGAAAGAGTACTTCACTCAAATAAATTGAGTCAATAAATATGCTATTTGTCATGCAGAGTCCAGTTAAAGTCTTGTTTGCTAACAAAAATGCTGTCATCACAGAGCCTAATAGACACAAACTATCTGGAACTATCCACTGTAAATAGACAAATACCATCTGAAAGCAGAAAACAACAATTGTGGCTGAACAAAGAATTGGATCCTGCAAACGTTGCCGAATGAAATAGGGTAGCCCACCTCAAAATCTACTATTTTGTTTGTCATCAGTGTATATTCTGTCATAGTATGAATGGTCTGGTGGTGGTAAAACAACAAGCTCTGTGTTTCTTCTGTGAAATGGGTTTTAATCGTTGCATAGTTAGAGCTTCTCTGGCTTGAAAAACATGCCTCTAAATACACTATTAAATTGCAAAACATGGCTTCAGTGAACTTGGATGGATTTGTGCAGGCTACTGGAACAGGGATAAGCTTCATCCTTTTACAAACAGTAGTTTTACATTAATCTTCACAGCTATCCATGTTGTTTAGTGCAGATACAAGAAGACTTTTGTTTGGCTCTGCTTTTCATGCTTGGCTTTATACATGTAAGTATAAGTAAGATGTGGCAATTCACTTGTTTTCATCCAGGCAGAGACTGAAAGTGTTAACAGTGAAGTTCCATAAGGCTAAGATTGTCAGACTTAATAGGTTTTGGTTAGAATCACAGAATCAAAGAATATCCTAAGTTGGAAAGGACCCACAAGGATCATCGAGTCCAACTCCTAGATTTTCAAATTGGTATTGGATGGAAGGAGCCTGGTTTTCAGAAGTGATGAACTGGCAGCAGTGGCTATTCAGCATCTTGGAAATTTGGCACGCTCTTATGAAGGTTCCAGGGCTTTTCCAGGAACATTTATGCTTCCAACATCCTGCAGATTGCAGGGTGTGGAGGAAAAGAAAATGCTCAAAAGTCTTGACAGATATCTTGAAGATGGTATTTCCTATCCCAAAGGAAAATGAGAATTATGTTGCAGAAGCCTAAGACAGAGATTATGAAGAATTTCTATGGGATTTAAGAATCTACACTTGACCCTTCACTCTTTAAATTTGGAATAGAACAGCTGGGGCACTTTCAGATTTTGCATCATGGGGCCAGAGATTGGCTGATTTTAATCTGCCCTGCAGTCATTTTAGGCACATTGTTCATCCACTCCCAGAGCACAATTTTCAAAAATGAGTTAGGAATCCAAATCTCTGTGCCTTTCAATGAAACTAAAGCTTGTATGAATCTAAGTTACTTCTTAGTTTGGATTTAGGATCCCAAATGACTGAAAAACTGAGTAATATTCCAGTCTGTCTAGAAAGTCTTTTTAACCCTGATCATGAGTTAAAATTAAAATTTCTGGAGTAATTTTTGTTCTCCTTGATGTTCTACTAACCACATAAAAACAGATGAAGGTTTTCCTCCTAATAGATAGCCTACAAATTATCTGGGTTTTTTTTTTTTTTTTAATAGATTGCTGTGTTCTTCTTGCCTTTCTCCTGTTACTAAATTTTGGTAATTTTATTTCAGCTGTTTCCACTACTAGGAGTAAAGACCAGTAAAGACAAAGCAGGATGAAAAGATGGCTGACTTCTTGTTACCACCGGGTACTAACAGCTTCCACCGGTTCACGCCTGAGTCCTTGGCTGCTATTGAGAAACGAATTGCAGAGAAGCTTGCAAGGAATGCAAAGCAGGAATACAAAGAGGAGCTGGGCCAAGAAGAGAAACCTAAGCCTCAGTTTGATTTGCAAGCTTGCAAGAAGCTGCCTGATATCTATGGGACTGTTTCTCCAGAGCTCATTGGGGAGCCATTGGAGGACCTCGACCCTTTCTACAGTGATCGTAAGGTGAGCCCCAGCCAGCCAACCTGCTCTTTTGCTTTTACTAGCATAACCACCGGCTCTGTTTTGGGCGCTCTGGTTTTTATCTTTCTACAACCAGTAAAAACATTTCTTTTTCAGATTAAGGATCAGAGTTTTGGCATGAGCAGGGCTCCCAGAAAACATCTAAACAGGAGGGCAAAGAGGGATAAAAAACATCATTAAAACTTGTGTGTTTGGAGATAACCCTGAGTGTGAATATACAATATCTGAAAAGAGCAGAGCAGTAGCTGAGTTAAATTAAGCCAGAGGTTATTATCTGCCCCTATCTTGCCTTCTGCATGAGCTGTGACTCTTCACAGGTCTGTTGTTTATCACTTAAGCCCCTTAATGTTAAGGGCTTCTGGGTGACTTGAGCCTTGTGCAAGCACTCTGCACAAGAGCAGGAGGCACCTTCGCAACCATTCCTGGAGAGCAGCAGTTCTGCTCCTGCTGAGGAATAGTTCAACTCCATTTAGGCTGACCAAAATAGAGTTGAAGAGAGATGTGAGTAGCGTGTGCAGTGCAGGCACTTTGCAGAAGGGTAAGCTTTGTCCCAAAGAGAGCATCACCTGATGAGGGATCACGTGTAGGCTGGACCAAGGCCACAACAGTGCAAACAGCTTCTGTCAAAAGGCTGTTGACAGCAGAGTTGGTCTGGTTGCTTACTACAGGTCGTTCCCCTTTCCAAACATGTCACAAAACGGAGGACAAAATAAAGCTTGGAAGCACAGTGTGTTTTTAGGCAGCTTCCAGTTCTTTCGTGTACTGATGTTCCTGATTTTGGGCTATGCTATTTCCTGTAAACAATGAATTAGTATGACCATAATGCTACTCCTATTAAAATGGTGTAGAAGCAGGTGCTAGAGCTACAGAATGAAAGTTAAGTGGATAAAGACAAATAGATTACTTACCTGGAAGGGCCAGAATTAATTTACCTTTTAATTTGCCTGTTATCCCCAGGCATAAGCAGCAGGATATAGATTTGCAATTTTAGTGTCATGAAGTTTTTAGACTCAGGGTGGGTGAGTAGCTTAGATTTTATGTATTGGGTGTCCTGATTCTGTCTCTGAGTGAATGCTTGTTCCTCTGTGTGTGGTAGGGTGTCTTCAGAGCTCTGCAAACTGGGCCAGCATCCAATTCACCTTTGCTTTGGATTTAAGATTACTCAGAGTATTATTTTCCTCTGCCCATATTAATCTGAGTACAATGAGAGTGCCTCAGTGCCAGGGTCAGATCCTGCTGTGAAGCTGTGCCTTCTTACTTGGTGAGACAAAAAACACTGGGAGGAACAAAGTGCTCAAAGTAGAGAAGGTGGAGTAACAACATAGTAAGGTCCCCAGCACCGAGGGGAAGAAGAGCATCACATAAGTCCCTCTACCACATTTTAATCTCTTCTCATCCCTTATGATGGAGGTGACAGCACGGGGCCCTGTAAGGGTTGAAGGAATTAAAAACAATTGGGGTATTAGAACAGGACAGACAACAGCTCTGTAAGGAAGGTCATGGACAAAACTTTGCCAAGTAAAAAAGAATTTGGGGGTCTTGGAAGTGGGCAAAAAGTATGGGATACTGGCAGGAATTTCCCAGTGGGATGTGGGTTGGGAAAAGCTGATAAATGCAAATACTGAATGTTCTCATTTTCTATTTTGTTTTCCAGACATTTATAGTACTGAACAAAGGGAAGACAATCTTTCGATTTAGTGCCACTCCTGCCTTGTATATACTTAGTCCTTTCCATCCAATCAGAAGAGCAGCAATTAAAATTTTGGTACATTCATATCCTTTCTGTTGATTTCTCTCCTCATGTATTTTATATGGGTTTTAAACACAGATGGATGGAAGTTAGAAACCATTTTATTTCATTAAGCTGTTTTAAATGTTTTAGCTGAATTTGCTTGCACAAGCAGAAATGCACTTGGATTTTCAGTTTGTTTCATTTCATATTGTTACGTGAGCTTTGAAAATTACTGTATTATACTGCTGGCATCAGATAATGTGAACTGCAGTGGAGAGTCTGGTGAGTTTACTCAGGAGTAAAAGATGTGAGGAGCCTGATCATGTTTAGTAAAGAGTCAGTGGAAGAAGATGGGTATAGTACCTTAGAAAGAAAGGCAACCAGGAGGCTGGAGCACACCTGGGGATAATTGCACTGATGGAGAGTTTTGCTACCAAGCACTTCAGCAACCTCTCCTGGAGGTGAAACTCCGTGACACTGTATGCACACACAATTTAATTTTGAACTGCCTCAGTCCTGAAATTTTTTTCTCTACTGAAACAGAATGTTTTAAAAATTGTTTTGATGGTCCTTTTCTAGTTTGTTTTTTGGAATGTGTTACCCAGTTAGGAATGAAAGCACAGGCTATCCTGCTGGACCTTCCAATGTAAGGGCAATGTCTGATTTCCCCTAGCTCTGTTTCTGAAGTCACAGGAGATACACTGCAGCAGTTAGTTTTGTCTTGTGGGTTTTTTTAACACAACCACGGAAACATTATATTCTGACAGTCACATTTCTCTGGAAGACCAAACTGACCCAGATGTTCAGTTTTGTGTGAACATTACTAAAAACACACCCCTTTTCATGACTTGGCTGCTTTCTCTATGGTGTGTATGGGAGACCTGGCAGTGATAATTCAAGGACTCCACATGCTGTTGTAATGATTCTGTGATGTTTCCACGATGGAAATCCCTCATCTACAATGCTCATGTCCACCACAGAGAGCTAATAAATACTGAGCACACAGCATCTTAGAATCATTGGTTAATCATCAAATTTCAGAAAAAAAAATAGGTAAAGAAATCAGATTCTCAGTATTTGTCCATACAGTGAGGGGAAAAAAATGAGAATATAATCGTGCTAGCAAAAGGAAAAACAGGTGAGGCTTCTAATTGCAAAAATTCTATGCAAAAATGAGTAAGCGGTATCAGTCAAGGTGTCATTATGGTTACTAAAAATACAATGTAGAATTCTGCAGAGAGATTTGCTTGTGGATCATATTATGTGTGTAAGCAGTGAACATATGATGCTGCATACCCAGAACCCAACAAAGTTTTTTAGGTGCAGTTACTTCAGCACAGCCTTGCTGAAGTTAATCAAGGTCAGTACATTTGCCCAGGTATGGCTAAGAGAAGAATCTGAAAATTGAGTGAAAGTGTGAGTATTGCCTCCAGGTTTAGAAGCTTGTCCTGTCTTCCCCTCCCTTTCTTCTATTTTGGCTGGTGAAGCCAAGAAGTCCCAGGTATGTGTAGCACAGGAGCTATATGCCCTTGGTAGCAGTCAACCAAAGGAAAAATGTGTAAGAAATCCTTATCACATTACTTCCGAGGATGAAGACCACAGAGAGCATCTGAAATACTTGTCAGGAAAACAATAGGGTCAGACAAGCAGTGTAAAATTTTGGGAGTGGCAGGTCTCGATGGAAATATAAGTTTAGCTTCAGAAAGATCCATATTATCACCTTGTGTTGATAATGTCAGGAGATCCAGCAGCTCAATCTTTGGCAAGTACAGGAAGGAGAAAATAACTCCAGTCTCAGTGAAACAGGGTTGAAGTTCCTGCATTAGGCACTGATTTGTTTTCTGTCAATAAAGGCCTTTTACATCAACCTGAAACACAAAGGCCAATTGGCTGAATAGGCAGTCAATATCTCAGGCAGAAAGGAGCCTGAATCGGCAAGTATTCAAGCAGATAATATCACAGATATGAATCTGGGAACCAGATCTATCACCTTGCGTGACTGTAATCAAGCAATCTTTATTTTCCCCAGGGCAAAAGCCTAAAAGGAGCATTAACAAATGGTGCCCTGTCACATAAATATTTGAAGCTACTTCTTTAGTAGATGCCATATTTCAATTTCCAGCCATTGAGTGTACCGTGAAGGCCAACAGTAGAACAGAATAGAGAGGACAGAGTAAAATGGCCCTATAGAGAAGCCGTGGGGGTCACATTTCTTGGTTAAGTAGCTGTATATGGAGTTTTTCCCCTAAGATGTCAGGCAGGATAGATTCTGTATGTTCACTGCTTATCCAGCCGAGCCTGATAAGTCTAGTCTTTCAAAAATAAACCATTCCAAGGAAAAAAATATCCACAGCCTCCTAGTAACATTAATTACTTCAACTAGCAGTGTACCCTTAAACCCCCTCTAGGTATTTCTCCTCTTATTCAGAGTCTAGGAGGTCTCACGAAAGGACCATGGCCCACATGGCTGCCCAGAAGGTGGCTCTGGTCCTTTTCTGTTACACACAGAGAGTGTAGGACTGAACCCCATTGGATGCATATGTTTTGTCTTCTGCATCATTATTAGCTATTATTAACACCTTTATTTACTATCTTCACCTATTAAGCCACTGGTAACACTTCATTGATGCCTTCGGCTTAAAAGAGTTCTCTTAGTTCTTTCTGCCTGCAAGCCAAGGACCATTCTGTGATATTCTGAGTTTCTCCAAGCAGTTTGCTGGCTTGTATAAAATCTGTAGCAATTGCTATTCCTAGTTTTTTAGGTATTACAGCTAGTTGTTCTCAGTTAGACACTGATCCACAAATGGTGTTTGTCCAAAATTACCTTCCTTGATGCTAGAATTATGGATTCTGGTACATTAGAAAAAGAAAAAAAATTTAAAAATCATTGTAATGAATTTCCAAACTTTTTCATATTTTCTACCTGCAACTTTTTTTCCCATCTAGTTTTGTACACTTTCCATAAGGCAAAATGAGACCTTGTGAAGCACCAATTACACGTACTTTTCATTGGGACTAACCTTTGCTTGCACATATTATATGTAATATGGCAATGATCACGTAAAGAGTGTCTAGTGTTCAGTCTGCTAATTAAAATTTATCCATCATAATGAAGTCTAGAAGTATGCCATGTTTGACTCAATATCTTTGTGCTAGAAGATAAAATGTGTAACTTTTAGAAATGGTTTGTGCAAAGCCTGTTCTGTAACTTCAAATTGGAAATAATAGGTTTAATTTATTGCAGAAAGAATCCTGTTGAGTAGCTTAGTATATTTGGTTTGTAGGATTTCAATAATTGGATTTAATAGCAGTTCTAAGATAGGGAACAGACAACGTTACTAATATAGCTTATCTCAATTTTATCTGCTTTGTCCTTTCGAGTAGATCTTTATCATGGACTATTTTTAATGCAAACAACTACATTAGGTTTCAGGTAGGAAAGCTAATCTTCTTTCTGCAGGAATTTCTGTTTTCTGTTCTTGGGCTTTTTTTTAAACACAAACCTCTAACTTTGGAGCATAACCTGCTGAAATATTTCATTCTGTCATGTTCCTTGTAGTTTTCAGCTTGGTCATGAAACCAAGATTGAATTCATAGTGTATTTTTTGTCCCAAAGCTGACCCCTTACATTTTCAACCTATGTTCTCTGATGTTTGAATAAGAAGGTGATGACATCTGCCTGTAAGTGAGCATCTGGGAAAAGGTGATGATATCTGCCTGTAAGTGAGCATCTGGGAAAGCTGTTAGATTCAGTTTATAATATGAGGAAACAAGGATATGTAAATAAAACAAGCAATCCTAAATTTCTATCGAGGAATTTATTCACTTGGAATTGATGTATGCTATTTGTTTGCCATAGTCTGAAGATATCACTCTGGTTTACTGTAGTATGCTATTTGTTTGACATGGTCTGAAGATATCACTCTGGTTTACTGTGCTTGTTTTCATAGCACTTCACTGTAGTTGAAAAAGTAACCCAGTGTTTTTTAGGGTAGCTGCAACTTACAACTAATTATGTTAACCAGAATGAGAGAACTTACAGAAACATATCTCAAGCTGGTGTGAGAAAATGTGACTGGATATTAGATATCCTTCCAAGTCCTTCAGTTGAAGGTGTTGGCCCAGAAGTGGAAAATGTTTGTGAGATGGGCAGTCCCTGTGAGTTCAATTACTGCTTTCTGCAGTGGCACTGGGGAATACACAGGTTGGTTACTACCAATTTAACCTTGTGGTTGCTTATGTAGCCTACTGGAAAACATTCCACTCTGTCTTCAGCAGAGACATTGGATCGGCAAAAGGATAAATTTCATGCTAATATTTCATGATGTATGTTTGAAATTATATTCTTCAGTCATTATTCTCAAAAAAACCCCACCCAAAATCCCAATAATGGAATCAGTAAAGACGTGAATAAACCTTCAATGTATTTTTTCCCCAAAGCTGGCAAAAGGAATTTACATTTGGATGTTACTTGTCTTTTCTGGGGAGGTTCCCAGCATGTTGACTGAGTTGTAGGCTGTTTTCTTTTACCTTCTGTCCACTTAAACTCATTACTTAACCTTTCGCAGTAGCATGGGACCCGTTACTTATGCAGGAGAATCCCATCATATTTTGTTAATTTTTAACATATTTTATTTTTTTTGCAGACAGTGTCATGTGCCTTTAGGAGATCTGTTCAGTGAACTATGTTTTCAATACCAGGAATTCGATTTAGGGTGCCCCTTTTTATATTTATGACCTCAACTTAGCAGCTAAGTGCATGGACTATATACTTGGGAGGTTCATTTTAGCCTCCAATTAGGGAACCTGGTGCCTCAGCTCTGCAGACCAAGGCTGTGTATTTGCCAAGCAGGTTTGCAGACCGAGCCTTAAAATTGGTGCTCTGAAATACATATTAGCTTTTGATGAAACTTTATACTGAAAGTGAGGCCTCAAGCCCATTAAAGAGATTAGAAATACCAGATTTGTCACTTGCCCTACTGCCTAAGAAATGTTGTAGGATGCAAAATAAAATGGGAATTTGCAGACACAGGTTTTTCTGTAGATACTTAAATGAGACTAATCTCTCTTTTCATACAAAGTTGTGCACCTATGCACATTGTCATCTGACCAACACAGCTGTAAATTTGGGGTATTGTGTTTTCAGAAGACTGCAGAGTCAGTACATTTGTTTACTGTATAAAGTATGTATAAAAGATGTAGGCAAAGGAAAAAAATGCAGGGCAAGTTCTCTTCTTTTCCTATTTATTTATTTGTCTCCTTATGCACTTGCAAACAAATATTTATAGTTCTTTAATCAACTTGCAAATTATGCTCGAGCTGTCACATCTTGTGTGAAATTACAAAAAATTTATGAAGTCATAAGAGTTGTTTTCCTTAATTCTCTTATTTACATTGTTCAGTATGTTTATTATGTGCACTATTTTAACTAATTGTGTGTTCATGGCACAATCAGAGACTCCGTCATGGAATAAATATGTTGAGTAAGTATTGCTGGTTTACAGCTGTCCTGTCCTTGTCTTTCCTCTTCCATTCATTTCTGTTCTTTTCATCTTGTTTGCTGTTGTCTGATTTCTTTCTGGTAGTATTGACCGTGGTATTTGCCCTCACAAAAGGTTTTTCCAGGTATGTTTCTTTTTTGCCTGTGAAAACTGCCTTCATAAGTAAACTAGCAACATTTAGTCCACAAAACTCATTGCTAAATGTACCTGCTATGCTACCTCTGAATGAAATCACATATGAGGACAGCTCTGTTTGAAACTGGCCAGCCTCCCACAGTTCCCATGCAAGAGATTTGATGGACACATCAGAATAGGCTGATGAAGTTTAAGTAATTAGTAATTATATCAGTAAATACATCCTGAACATTCTTAGTTCTACACTTAAACTGAAACTTATTGGAAGCAAAAGTTTCTTTGGACTGAGTGCATTGTGAGAAGTATTCCCCTGTAATCATTGGTAGGAACATTTTATGAGCATAAAATTGTCTGGAAGCTTTTATGAGAATTCCTGTCTTTTTAGCTTGTCAAGGATTCACAAAATATAGCAAAGGCATCACTTGAAGGCTTTTTGTTTGGTTGTTGTTGTTTGGGGTTTTTTTATTTAATTTTGAAAGATGCTAAGGGGCTTCAGAAAACCCATTTCATTTCTTTAAGTTGCTATAAAATATTCCTCTTAGAAGCTGATACCAGATGCACAAGCTAATCAACCTACAGTGCATTAAACAATTATTTTGGCTCATTGAACCAATCAGAACACACTTTTTATTTTTGACTGACATATGATAAACACAGCCATCTGCTGTTTCATAGCCTGGTGGTCGGTTTACTCAGGGCTGTAAGGAAAGACAGTAAAATGCCCTTATTCTAGGTTTCATAAATTCATGCAGGACACATCTTCTAGGCCATAAATTACTAATTATAGACAGCACTGAACCAAATATTTCATCTGATCACAATAACATCCTAATCCCAGGATGTTTTGCATATTTCTGTATAGTGTGGTACCCTCAAGTATGTCTATGACTGTCCTTTCCCCCAGTGTTGTCCTTTTCCTATTGAAAACTATGATACAGTGCCACAGCCATGATGTATTCCACTGAATCATGGACATCTCACCCATGCAAGTCAAAATTTGATCAGTTGGTCTACAGCTGGGAATTCAAACATTCTGAAGGGAAACATCAAAATGCTTATGGTATCTTCTGTAAACTGAAAATAGGGATGATGCTATCACTGTATCAAGCAGGGCATGCAAGAAGTGGGGAGCAGAAATGCAGATGGACTCATGCAGCATGGAATAAATCCTTCCATGTTTCCTTTTCTCCTGTGTTCCCTCATATCTCTCAGCTTTTCCTCCTCAAGTGCACAGAATGAAATCAAAGTCAAGTACTTTTGAGGAGCAAAATAACCCAATAAACTGTAATTCAAATTGATTAATATTGGATTTGGAAAAGATATGTTTAATCCATTTTGTTCCACTGTTTCAGAGATTCACAGGGGATAGAAGAAAACCTTGTGCAAATATTTGCCCTAGATCTTCCTTTAAAACATTTTCCTTACTATTTTGTAAAAAAGAAATCAATTCAGCTTCCCTCCACTAAATTATTTTTTAAAAACCCTCACTTCTGTTGTTAAAGAAGCTATTCAGTTGCTGGAGGACTTTGCCCCATCCATTTAGAATTAGATGATGATTATACAATCAATTAAACCCATCTGACATGCTGAATAAATACAAGTGCTTTATCATTTTAATGAGCTTATGTACCGTATTTTTTTTCGGTTCTTTGCATGTGTTTTTTGCATGTATTACTGAATACACATGCTTAAAGAGACTGTCATGTGGGTGACCTATATTCGAAGTACCAGAACAAAACTAAATTGGAGCCATGAGAAGTTGGATGCAAGATAATGCTTAGGTGTATGGTCAAAGAGGAGTTGTGAGAAACATTTCCAGTCCAGTGTTGGACCAAAACAGTCCTGCTAATCTCTATTTTATCATGAAGCTTACTGTGTGACACAATGGCAGGAAGAATGAGAATCACTACTATCTGTATGTGTGCCCAGTTGCACATCAGTGGGATACAGCTAAGAGAAAACATCTCCATTTTGTTCATAATGAAGTTCTTCCTTATATTGCCACATTTAATTGCTTACACCTTTGTCTTTTCTGGGTTTTACCAAATAGGAATCTCAACTGTTAGAATTTCTTTGTGTGTGGTGGCACCATTGTAGCTACTGATGTCTAGGGACTGAACAGAAAACTCATTCCAGTGTTTCCAGTGAAAACCCCTAACATAATGACTTAAGAGATTTGTGATTCATGGGAATTAAAGCATTTTTTTAATAGGCTTTTGTGTCATCTGCATCTTTATTTGGAGAAAAAGGCTGAGGAATGTCAGTGGTGGATACATTGATTTCTTTTACTAAGATATGGCCTAGAATACCTAGTCCCTTTGGGCTAGATGTCTCCGGTAGAAACATTTAAAAGGAGCTGGTTTATGCCCTAAACTCTGTTTGTAGGTAGAGCCCAGTGTCTATGATAGTAGGTAGAGCCCTGGGTGAATACAGATCTGAGTGCTATAAATCAGTTGCATTACTGTCCTCCACAGAGATTTTGCTAAATTTTATTACCAGTGTCATCTTTATTACAAAAGGTAAGATGTGTGTTCTAGCCAAAATCATGACAGTCAAGGCTGTTCGTAATAACTTTACTCAAGTTAAAAACCACCCTTGTGTCTCCTTTGCTGTCGAGCAGGTCAAAATTACTGCATATAGTATACAGGTGGGAGTCTTTTTACACTTTTTCAGTGAGGGCATTTTGTTGTTTAATTCTCAAGGCTAGTGTGATTTGCCATGGATAGTGAAACAAAGGAATTTGCAGAATACTGGTTTTAGCTAATAAAACCAAGCGGTGACATTATTTTTTAATCTGTTGTACTTCAAAATGTCCTGGGCAGGAAGAAATGAGAGGTATGAATAAAACACCCACCTTCCTTTAAATTAGAGAAGCAACAAGGAATGTGGCATAATGTTGCCCAGAGAGGTTGTAGACTCCCCATCCCTGGAAGTGTTCAAGAAAAGGTGTTGTGTTGATGGGGCTCTAGGCAACCTGGTTTTGCAGAAGGTTTCCTGCCCAAAGCAAGGGGGTTGGAGCTAGGTGATCTTTGAGATTCCTTCCAACCCAAACCATTCCATGAATCTGTAATCCACCCCTCTTACACTGGTGATTGCAGGCAGATCTTGAAAAGTCCCATGGCACAGCTTAGCAGCATAGTGTTCATGCTTGACATAAAAACTCAGGATTTATCAAGGTACACCCTGTGGTAAAAATTACCTTCATCCTGTGACTGTCATGAACACTTTCCCATTTCTTACGTGTTCCTTGTTCCACATATGGGATTGCTCATGCACAGTCCAGTGCTGCAGCCATGGCACGAGCAACCCCAACAAGATGGGCAGGAGTGTCTCATGTGAGTAGGATTGGGCTGAGTGTGTCGCTATCTGTTGCTTACTAATGCTTTTGCTTATCTTGGCCATTTTATTCCCCAGGTACACTTTCACTGGCATTGCATTTACACAATCATTGATAAAAATATTGGCGAGAGGATTTTGCATGACAGAATTCACCTTCCTTCGAGATCCATGGAACTGGCTGGATTTCAGTGTTATTGTTATGGCGTAAGTAGAACTCCTTTATATTTTCCAAGACAGTTATATGCAATAGAAATTGGAAAAAAATTTGTCTAGCCATGCTCTCTTTTTTTTTACTGAAAATGAGAAAAATTGATAAAAATATTGGCGAGAGGATTTTGCATGACAGAATTCACCTTCCTTCGAGATCCATGGAACTGGCTGGATTTCAGTGTTATTGTTATGGCGTAAGTAGAACTCCTTTATATTTTCCAAGACAGTTATATGCAATAGAAATTGGAAAAAAATTTGTCTAGCCATGCTCTCTTTTTTTTTACTGAAAATGAGAAAAGGCTGAAGTGTATTAGGATGGAGGTATTTTTTCCTGAGTGGTTTCAGGGGAAGAAGTTGAAGGAATTCTCAATTCTGTTCTCTCAATTCAGTAGACTACTTTGGAGAAATTATTTACTCTCTCTGTGTAACAGAGAGAGAGAGAGCAGTTTGTAAGATATCTGTAATAATCCTTGCCTATCTTATGCAGTTTTGGGAAGCTTCAGATTCCTGAATAGAAAGTGTCGTAAGTGTGACTGAACACCCATGTATTTAAATCCCTATTTATACTCTGTATATCCATAACATCACCAAAGCTGTTTTCATGTCCTTCTCTTCACAAATCCTCTTCACTCTGAAAGCAATTACTATTTTACTACAACAGAGAAATAATTTGTAGGCCTCTGATAGTTGTTATATAACTTGGGAATAAACATTTGGCCCCTACCATGATATTTTCCTTCAGCTGTATGTATCTACCTAGAGTATCAGAATTCATTCAGGACATGTGGAGTCCTGGTGCTTTGAAGGAGGTGATGGATTTGCAGCATCTAGACAGCTAAAAATACACAGAGGTAGAGGAGCAGTCAGTCCAGGCTCTGGCCAGAAGCAAATATCTGAAGCTGTTGGTACCTCCAGCGGAGCTAGAAATTCAGATTTTCTTCATAGTCAAAGAAGAGAGAAAAATCTGCAAAGAACATATGTCATCTTGAAGTGAAAGATAGTAGAGATGCCTGAAAGGCTCCATTACCTAATCATGGAAGGATTTCACCCATCTCCCTGGGTTTTTTTCTGCTTAATAATACCTATATTCAGTTCTGGGTTTAGGCTAGTTCTCACTTCCATCTTTAAACCGCAAAATTTAACCTCAAGTGTTAAGTGAGATGCAAGTGTGTTAGCACTGACATTTGAGCTGAACTCAAGAACTCAAGAAAAGAATATTCAACCAAACTTAGCTCAGTGGTGTGAGGGCCACTGAAGTTGAAAGCACAACTCTGACAGGGCACAGGGATCAGGATCAATATTCAAGGAGAGTCTGGTCAATGCTCTTGGTCATACAGTTTAGTTTTAGGTATTCCTGTAAGGAGAAGGGAGTTGGGCTCCATGATATGGTCTATGATTCTGCAGTCCTTAGCAGCATTTAGCAGAACCACATGAAGATGAGTAAAACCTATGTGAACTTCCTTGGGAAGACTCCTATTTATTTCAGTAGGCTTTGGATCAAAGCCAGCCCAAGGCCAGGTCCTGGTATCTGTTACTGCATTCCTATGGATTTGGCTGAACTGACATCTGGCCTCCATGCTAAGCTTTTAAAAAAAATTCTGTGCAGATGGGGAGGAGCTTTTGGAGGTCAGCACACATTAGGTATTTTTCTCAGCTAAACTTTTCCTCAAGCATTGCTAAGTGCAGTTCTCCTGCAATATTTAGAGGCAAGACAGAACAACACAGCATTACCAGCTTGCTCTTGTCTCTCCTGGCTGTCAGACAGGTGGTAAAAGCAGAGTATGACCATTCATCTCTTTGTGAGTTAGGACATGAGTGTATTTGTAGGTCACAGAATTCAGCAGAACATGGAGAATCTCAGTGTATGGGTTCCTCTTTTCTAGAAGGAAGGTTTTTGACAGTAAGGTAGAAAGGAGCAGCGAAAAGGACAAGAAGAGTCACAGCTTGCAGCCTTGACTTGAGTCTGATCCACCTCATCTTCTCAACTTGGGCAGACATTGAGTCATCACCCCCAAATCTGGAAGCTTCTCTGGGAGTATCTCATTTGCTGTCACTGAAGTTCAAGTCTGAAGAGTCATTGTGGAATACAGTCTAGATATCTCTTAAGTTCTGCCTACATCATCTCTGGGTGTTTAGGACTTAGGGAGCAGCAAAGATGTGAAGATTTGCACAGACCTTGAGGTGGACAGTTACCCACAGGTGAATTATTCACTCTTAGTTGGTGAGCACCAGGATTTGGTGCCCAGAGGTTGTGGGCTTACTTCTCTTTTTTCATTTCTAACTCTTGAATGACCACTCAGTGCTCTAGCGCAAGGATTCATGAATACTTCCTTAAGGTTTTTCTGATGAGAGGCTTGGGAGCCTATGCTTTCTTTCCTAGCTAGATTTCAATTTTCTTTCCAAATGATATTTCATCTCTTACTTAGAAGATTCCCTAAAACAGTAGGACCTGTATACCACTGTATACCACTGGCTGCAGTATTCAGAACCAGCATCCATTCCTATTGTTTCTTGCTTTAAGGCGTATTATATTAACATTTTTAGAACAGAGCAAAAATTTGACTTCTGGTTTAGAAAAGAAATAGAAAAGTGTTTCCTTGAGCCCACAGGCAGCAGTGAGAGAGTTAGAAGTGGCTGCAATATGATCTTTGTATGTACAATAAAACCTCCTTCTCAAGTATGCAAGCAGCAGATAGTACAGAGCTTTGGATAATGGAATCTATTCTGATATGATTTATCCTTCATGTAAATCCAATTTGTAAGTAATTTAAAATAAGATTGATCACACAGGTAACTCTGGTGTTATCTTTTGCACGTAGCTAGTGTGCTGCTAGAGGTATTTCTGTATCTGGAAACAAAGATGGCTTGAGGATTCAAAAGGGGGGAACCTGATAAGGGGCCATTAGATTCAGATGGACTGAGGGCTTTGAGATAACAGAAAATCTGACTCTTTCACTGATGGGTGTTGCACTGGAAAGACCATCATTTGCTTTAGAGTTATTGCAAAATAATTTCTTACCTTCTCTTTTGGGCAGAAACAGCACAGTTTGGGTCACAGAGAGTAGTTTTAAATAGCACACTAGAGAGTAAGAAGTGCCACAGGACTCCAGGGCTTTACTCCCATCCTGTGCCAGTGGACAGGTTAGTTAGACAAGTTAGGAAACTGCCCCTGTTTAGATCCTTCTTTCCCAGACCAACCAATGAGTACTTTCCAGGACAGGCAAGGAAGAGGTGGCTGTAGCTCTGAGTTGGAATGTGCCAAGACAATACGCAATTCCCTGGGTAACAGGAGAATTCAGGGTAGGAATTCCAGTTGCTCCTCAGTCCCTGAAAGAGAAACTGGTCTGCTGCAATTTTATCAAAGAAATAGCTGAAATAAATCTTGATTAACTATTGAGAACAAGCAGCAGCATTATTTGCTGCATGTGCTTGTTCACATATTTATAATATGTTTATATAAATCTCTGGTCAATAAAACCATGTTGCCATCACATTGCTTCTCCCTAAATTACTTTTCCCATCACATTTTATGCTGCAGAATTGTTTGGGAGAGAAGCACTGGGTAAGGCTGGGGAGAAAACAGGTAAATCTTGGCCCAGAATCCCCCATGGGATTATGAAGAGGAGAAGCAATATTGCTCTTCCATGCTATAATCTGGATTAGTAGATATGGAGAGGATGCTTTGTCCTCCCCAGGGGCCTTGGTACAAAGCCACTTAAGCAGGCTTTGTAAAATAACCAGGTGAGCTTTTTTTCCTTAGCATGTCAAAAAAAAAAAAAAAGCCTCAAGGAAGTAGGCTATGTTAATGAAATTTGATTGAATTTTAATAGTGAAATTCAAGGGTCTAAGAGCTCTTTTGTTCAGAAAATACAGTGGTGGGAATGCTTTTTACTGTATAGTGACTTGGAGGAAATAATTTTCTACAACACTGATAAAATGAAATTGATTCTATGACTGAACCTCCTGGGATCATATAGCTCAGATGTGGCATTGGTCTCCATGATGACCAAAATGGGCATGGCAGGGAAGAGCTGGGATTGGTAATTTAATCATAAAGAGGTTTTAGTAAGATTGCAGTTACATTCATTCAAACTTGATCTTCCTGCAGCCAAAGGGCATGGATCAAATGTGCAAAACAAAATACAATTTTAAGCATCTCTTGAAACCAACATCTGCTTTACCACAGAATATAACATCTTAAAATAAATAACCCAGTAGAAACATTTGCACAGATATTTTCTGATGTTGTCCTATATGTAGTTTTCAGGAGCTATTATGTGAAAATCACTTGGGTATTTGAAGCTTTTTTTTTTTAAGAGCAGCAAAATAACTCTTAATGTTTCCTATAATATAAACAAGTGGCTTTTTTTAGTTCAATTACATGATGGTAACATCTTTAAAGTATTCATTGCTGAACAGCACGATAACAAAGTTCACCCCATAGTTTTAAAGAATTGATGCCTTTAAGATAAGTATAATAGTTCAAGTAGTAGTTGAAATGATGTGTACTAAGAAAAACTCAGAACAAATGGCATCAAAAAACAGCCTGAGAAGTGGATGAACCTCTCAATTTGGCTGTGTTCACTCCCACTATGTATGAATGCTTTCTTCATTCAGACAAGTCTCATACTCTATTGTATAATTCCAAATAACTGTGACTTAATTCTACAGGTATGTAGGAGAATTTGTGAATGTAGGCAGTGTTTCATCTCTTCGGACTTTCAGGGTATTGAGAGCTTTAAAAACTATTTCAGTAATCCCAGGTAAGAAGCCCTGATCCTTACGTTTTGGCTCTCAGCTACAAGTGATTCTTTCTCTGTCTCTCTTTGTCCCTTTGACTGTTGTTTTTTTTTGCTGGTGTTTTGTCATTGTCTGTGTGTGACTTTCCCTTGTTACAGATACATAACTGAATTTGTGGACCTGGGCAATGTCTCAGCCTTACGAACGTTCAGAGTACTGCGGGCGCTGAAAACAATCTCAGTCATTTCAGGTGAAAATCAGGTTAAACACTCCGGCTGCAGTTAAAGCCTACATGCCATTTCCAGTAGTAAACAGCATAATTACAAATGACTTAACCATAGACACTGATCAGGAAATGGAGAAATGTAGGGAATGTGACCTGTCAATAGAATAAATTTTTTGTATGCTTTTCCAATACAGTTTTTGTGGGCAGAAGGAATGAAAGTGCCTCCAAAATTACAGACCTCGCTAAGACAAGTGCTGCTGTAAGAACATACATAAAGTACTTATTCCTGGACCATATGAAAATGGCAATGAAACTCTTTTAAAGTCTTCGGATATTGATTTTTAAAAATGGACGGTTAATGACCTTAAAATGCATATCCATGTTTAAGAGAACATTGATAGAGAAATCTAAATCTGTGCTATGAGCTGAGGTTTCAAGGCTGCAGGCACAGATAGCCTAATTTGTCATGGTGTTTATGCATTTGCATGTGATAGACATACTGTTGAAATTTTGCGCCTTGAAGAGATCAGAAAACATTTCACTACTGATTTTAGTAGGTTCAACATTTCATCGACTCACATTTTCTTACATTTTCAGGGATATGATTTCTCCCCTTCTCCGGCACAAACAAAAAAAAATCAGTGTTTTACTACACATCTGGTAGTCAAAGAAGGTCTTTATATATCTGTTGCTAATTTAAAAAAAAATAAAATTTACCAATAAGTAATTTAGGCAGAGATGAGTCCACTGAGGACTAACCATATGACAATACTTTCTTGCCAACATTATCTATGGACAGGTCTCATTCAGCCTCAGTGTTTAACATCTCCAACCTGCATGACAAGGTAGAGAAGATAGCAAAAACCATGCATGGTAGATCCTATCGGTAATAATCCTGAACAGATGTTGGCAATTACATGTCAAAAATATTTAAAACATCAAGAGAACTGCTTGGATTTTCACTCACAGCTCTCTAAGGTTAGAAAGGCTTTTCTACCCCCTCTATTAATCACATGCACACTATAGTATAAATCCAAATAAATTCTATGGTGCAAAGTTATAGGAACATGTATTAAAACTAATCACCACTGCTCACATGGAGTATCAGCTGGAAACAGGAATTCTGGACTGGAGGTGATAAGAAAACATCTATATGAGTCTAGAGCTTGCTCTCTCATTCCAACACCAAAGTAAAGAAAATCATGAAAATTTCTGGAAGAGGAATGTATTGAAATTGTATGCCCAAACACAGGTTTTAAAGATTACTCTAAGATTGATCATTCATTAGGTCCTTTGAATCACTAACTGTCTTCATTTTTGTCTTTAAGTTTTAAAGAATAATCTATTAGCAGAGAGGGTTTTTTTTAAAGTTTTCTCTAATTAGATTTCCATTGCAAAAGGATTTTTATTTTCCTTGGGTAACAAAGCAGAGCAGGGTTTTACAGATCATGTGGGATAGTAGTGGCTAATCAGAGAGAAAAACAGAGTTTGTTTCCTAGCTTCCTTTGCTAGCAATTTGAAGACTAACTTGGAGGGACAGCCATCTCCAGGGGACACCTATCACCTTGCATCTTGTCTCAAGCTTGAGCCTCTTCAGAGCAGAGCCTGTCAATTTTTCTGAGTTATATATAT